CGTACATACAAAATAGCCTGATCGCTGGTGATGTTGAGGGCGCAGCGATCGGTGGCTCCAGTGACATCTCTGCGGGCTGCACCTAGAACTTGACACATGTTGTGTCTAGCTGTTAAAGCTACCGAAGTCGCAATTTAAACACATCGAGCAGCATCGGTTGTATAGGTGGATCGCTCTATAGATGTTCCTTTTTGTGAATCCGAGGTGTAAGTGTTACAGGTGCTGCCCCAGTCGACATATCGGATAAGAAGATATGGGCGGTGGAGAGGGCCATGCTTCGCTGTTTTGCGATGACGAGTTGGTTCGTGGTTCAATAGGTATTCGGTACAGCGAAACCGTTTGGAAAGTCTGACACCTTTCCTTGGGTTTGTGCTAGTAGTTGAGGGAGATGGATGATCAAGCCGTGTTATTGACACCACTGGCGAAAGGATATTTGCATTAAGGTGAAATTCGGTTTTATCGTAATTCTGTGTTTATAGTATTACATAATTTACGAGTTGAATCGTCGTATACACAAAACACGACAAAGTGAGCCTAGCATACCATTATACTTCCTTACTCCGATTCGACACACACTGGCGCATTTCGGATGGTCATGGCTCGTACAGCAAGAGCTAACCCGTCCATAGTGAGCTGTTGAATCTGGCGACTAAGTGTCGCAACTTGTGTTTGCAGGGCTTCTATAGTTGACTGTAAGCCAATGATAAAAGTGACCTGCGACGCGACAGCATTGAGCTTACTGGCGTCTGCGTGTGGTTGCAATCCCTCAATGACTCGATGCGCTAAATCTGCTAGTTGAGTGAGAGAAACGGAGCTCACAATAGCGAGCATCGTTTGCGTTTGTTCCGGTAGACGCTGTAGCTATAGTTCGCGAAGTAAAGTCTCGTCCATGGTTGAGGAACCAAGGAGTTGCTGCATCTCACGTAGAAGAATTGAGGGCAGGTTGTCGCCCAACTGCAGATCTCTGAAAAAGTGCTGTGGGCGAAGTTTCTCAGAGGGTATGACACGCTTAATCGTGGCCCCCTTGAGAGTCTCACAGCGATTTTCGGTCTGAGAAATGATAACGTCTCGACCCTGCATTGATATCGCTTTTGGAAGATAGGACATGAGCATGCTATACTTCGCGTTGTCGTTGATTCTGCTTTTATAAAACTCAGCCTCAGGATGAGCGAACCACAAAGGAGGATTCAATTCCCAAAATGGAGAGAGACTCTAAATTATGGTCAACAGGATCCAGGGTTTAAAAAATGACGCAAAAATAAACCGGAAGATATAAAAAATAAATGGAACGAGTTCACCGGGGAAAAGTTCGAAATATCCGGCGCTGAGATTGTTCCGGAGACTGAGGGGGGGGGGCACCAATTTCGCGAATAGCCTGTAGCGGGAGCATGGAGAGCGATGCGAAAAGGCAGATCGGGTTGCAGGGAGACTTTTATTTGTACAGTAAAAGATTCCCTGTTACCTAGCTATAAAAAACGTAACCGTTTACCCTCTGGCTAGGGGAACAGACGATGCGCAGCACACAGGGCAGTCGCGCGTTGCAACCGTAACGAGCGCCAAGCATAAATGGCGATGAGGAAGTCAAGCATCCGAATTCAGTGATCAGTATAACAAACCATACTGGTCGTCTAGGTGTACAATGAAATAAGTTTAGTTAGAATTTTACACAGACAAATGGGGGAATCTCCCGACTGCTACATGACTTCGAATATATCTCTAATGCATCGGAAAAGGAAGTGACGTAAGACTGACAGATGATTCACAACTAATGGTGTATATTTTATAAGATGCATCGAATCAGATGCAAGACTACAAGCGAGTCAATCAAAAATAAGTGTGACGTTCCAATTAATGTCTCCTCGACGATATGGAGTAGCCTGACTGACCACAACCACAGCGGCGGATAGCTCAAAACGTGGGCTGGTCAGTCGTGACCAAGCAAAGAGAGACACCTCAATTCGACTAGAAGACGTTGCTCGCCCACAATTAGTTTTCACTCCAGCGTACACAACATCCCCGTAATCCGGATCTGAAGCGTAGGCAAAACAATGCAATGTGATTTCGGCTCCGCAATACACTGGCTTAAGATAGCAAAATAGATGTACTAATCCCAGAAGATTAAGGTTCGCAAGTACGTTATACCACACTTTCTTGATCATCCTTTAACAAGTCTCGCGCCGACGATGCCAAAAGCGTGTTTAAATCGACAGCGAGAAAAGACTGCCCTCGGAGTTGTGATCCGCTGGCGCTGAGTTTCGTCGGCATTATTAAGCTACACGTCGACTGGAGCTTCCTTGTACCTCGTAAGCAGAAGCCATCAGCGTAATAGTTAAATGAATGTGGTAATTCAAAGCTCGTCACTTCAAAACATCACAATACACTCTTAGTCTCGATTCGACACGCCTAAAAGAAACGGTGCTCAAGCTCGTTGGTAAGTAAACCCGAAGTACGGCACACAGCGAGTTGTTTGGGTTGATGAGAAAAAAAATAACTGGCGCATGTGCACCTCACCACCATTACAAATGTTAGTACAATACATGCGTCAGTTACAACTGGGACCAGTTTAGGGAAATGCCCTGTACTACTACCCTCGGGCGTATATGAGAAGAAAAAAGAACGATCATGGAGGCACGCTAAGATGACGCGAGACGGGCATGGAGAAGTTGATTCGCAATGCGATGCAGCACCGATCCTCACAGCTAAAAGAGAAAAAGTTACATTTGCGAAATAACACATATATATTAGCAACGGTCCACATAATAGACATTGTGCCATCGAGACGCCATGGAATGAACGCGTATAATAGATACAAAGATCAAAAAAGGATAACACACAATGAATTATATTTTGTTTTTCACACGCCGTTTAACCATATTTTATCAGTTTAATGATTGCAGTTTTGATATGTAGAATCAATGCAGAGACTTATTCAAGCGTTCCAGTGTCTGTGATTACACGCCATTTTCTCATGAGTCTCCAACCAGCGAGATTCTTCGTCTCGGACTCTCCAGCTAGGAAGACCTACGGGCCGACAACAGCTAGAGTGGAAGTCAGCTTGTTGACGTTTTGTCGTCATGTGGTAGGTTGGTCACCACGCGATTTCTTCCAGTGCGGTCCTGCGTGAGTGAATAGAACGCGCCGTGGTAAACGCACCAACGGCATGCGTAGGTGATCAAACCACCTCAGTTGGCGCGGCGATATTAGCTTGTCCAGAGGTAGGCCCGTAATACCAAGGACGCGACCTCTAACACCGACGTTCCTAATGTCATGTTCCCATCACACCCCAGCTATCTTCCGCAGACAACCACTGTCAAAGGCCGAAATCCAACGCAAGTTGTTTACACGGATCGGCCAGGGCTCGCTTCCATACAATAGGACCGCACAAACAAAGACATTGTAGACCCAATTCTACGCCGAGAGTGAGAGGTCACCGCGAAAACACAAATGCATCAGATTAGCGAAAGCTGATCGGGCTCTGACAATACGGAGCGAGATTTCTTTACCAATGGTGCCATCAGAACAGATGCATCTTCCAAGGTAGATGAAGCTGTCTACTTGGTCAAGTCGCACGCCTACTAGAATCGGCACGGGGCAGGTGGAAGCCAATCCTGGAGTAGGACCTTGCATTTCCATGGAGCGGTCATGCCATACTTGGTAACTTCAATCACTAACCGGTTTAGAACGACTTACATGATATGTGGGTCAACAAGTAAGGTAAGATTATCAGCATAGTTCAAGGCAGCCGCGCGGTTGCCCGGAAGAAACTCTACGCCAGAACCCTGGAGACCTTGTGGAGAGAATAATAGGACATCCTCAATCGCAAAGTTGAGAAATATGGACAGAAGGCGTTCCTGTCGCATACCGATAGTGACGGTGAAATGTGAAGGGAAGTTACCGTAAGCTCTCACTCTACTAGAGACATTGTTGTATAAAGCTCGAAGTATGGCGGTATACTTTTCAGGTACCCCATTCCTTTGCAGACAATGCCACAGAGCAGGCCAATCGACCGAGTAGTACGCAGTTCGGATTTACAAAGAGGCGACAATGGCAGATTGGCGATAAAGGTGGCAAAATAATATACAACTGAAAGAAGTGTTACGCGACCATAGAAATTAACAATAATCAGGCTTATATTGTATCAAGAAGGGAAAGAAAATAAACACGGAAAGCATCTAAGTTCCGCAAAAAGTGAAGAATACAGGATCAATTCGGCCGAGAAGTCAAACTGGGACAATGTCGAAGGATGGTATCGAGAACACTGATGACGGCCTCGGAAACGTGGGTCTTGGAGGTAAAGGGATCCGCAGAGTCACAGGTAATAGTTAAAACTGGATCGATGGGTAACCGACCTAGTGAGACAGAAGAGACAAGTGTGATGGTGTCATGAAGAAGTCGATGGGAGCAACGATAGTTTCTGAAGCCGTTGTGTATGCTAACGAGTACAGGGAGAAGTGACATCCACATATTTACGAGAAAATCAGAACAGTGCATGAAAAAAGAATGTATACGAGTGACAGAGAAAGGGGACGTAAATTAATCGCGAATCGACTATGTACGTGTAGCTTCACGCAGTGAGGATATAATCCATATGTGCACACTAATAGAGGAAGTTTGGATTTTGTCGTCGGTGTAAAGTGCCAAAAACTGCAACATGCGCATGGTGGTTCGTTAGCTTACAATGTCGGGGAGCAAACACAGTGCGAGCTATGTAGCTTACAGAGCTGTGCCTCGAATATTATGAGAATTAGTGCTTTATTTAACTCACCCAGGAACGGGACTCCCTTTTCTTTGGCGAGGGATTCGGCACCACCGTAGGAGAACAGATTGGAGCAATGGGAGCAATTTGGGCACCGGTAACCACTCATGTTTTCGATCAGCCCAATAACGTTCAAGTTTGTTTTGGCACAAAAACCCAGCTCGCGCCGTACATCACATAAAGAGACTCGCTGAAATGAGAGGGGACATCAAGGAACAAATGCAAGAATATTATCTGATATATAGACCCAAATGTGGGAGCAAACTGAAAGCGAGCCTCAAAATGCATGGGTGTTGTCTGTTATGCAAAGGAGACAACTTTTCGAAAATAAGAGTGAGAACACCTGCCCTAATTAGCCTGCATTAGTATGTGATTGTATCGGACATAGGAACCAACCAATTTGCTCTGAATGAAGCCAAGCGTTAAAATGGTACACATAAGAAGCTTATAGTCAATAGCCTTCGGATTATAGAGCAATATCAAGGATGCACAGACTAGCCAGTTTGAGACACTGGTTTCGATAAGTAACATGAATGCCTAGGGGGTGTTTGTACCCAAATTACAAGGCTAGTGATCGAGGTAGAGTAATCATCAGGTATTAAATATTGACCGCTGGGCCCAACACTATTAGTTCGGTGGTCCCTCAAAGTAGAAGTTAGGTGTCGTCCTTTTGCGTGGTGCATAGCGAGGAGTAACTTGAGGTCCTCGGCTTGTAACCACTATGCCACAGCCCCCAACAGTGGCAAGAATATGCATCTCACTATACTCTGCATGGTTGGCTTGCCAAACTACCTCCCCGTGGTGTCAGCTGGGTGGTTCGGGATTACCCTGTTCCAGCCAATATTTCGGCGATAGTGTCACAGGACGTGGTGGGTGTTCGACTGGCAAAAGTTCTCTGCATAAAATGTCACGTATGTCCGTTTAACACTGCGAAGTGGCGGATGTGACTCGCCAATAAATAAGGTCACTGCCCCTTAGTTCACTTCGGTGAAGCATTGTAATGCAGGACCCTCTTGCCGAAATCGGTGGAGGGGGGGGAGATTGAGCTCTTGTTTGTTAACCGACCAAACAAAAGGCATATGAACAGAGTAAACAATTACCGGCTCCCAATGGGCGCGATTCCATGAGTTCGTCTTGCTGTCTTGTGGGAGGACTACTTAGCCAAAGGCTCGGGGTGAGTTCTCGTAAGCCAACACCTACTTCGGCTTGCGCAAGCGAGTAGTATCACGCTCTTGAGAAAAACCATGGACTGTCCTACAATGTGCTCATCAGTTACCGTTTCGGGTTCTCATATTCACGCAACTTCATCATACGCCAATTGTTTGTTTACTAACAATCCTTGTTATCATCACCTGATTCCTGTGTTAAGGAATCTGTCTGCGATTCCGGTTGCATCGCGGTGCTACTCCGACTTCGATCTTCGTTCTGTCTGGCGAGCTTCAACGTGGGGACTCTCATGCAGGTTGGACAGCAAGCCGGACTAGCTCGCACCCTAGAGTCCTTGTATGCAAAGTCTGCTGTCTTTCCTAAACCGTAGCGCAAGACCCCTGAAATGTGCTTCCGCTGACATCCCCACTGGAAAAAGGCCAGATATCATTTGCATTTTTCTGGAGATCCAAAAACAGCCTCAGTGCGCTAGCTATGGCAATAAGTGGTAACGCCCAAGCTGCACTCAGTTCAGCTCCGTTAAACAATGAAATAAATAAATAAATAGTTTATTCTCAAATTTATAGAGACACCAAATCAGGCGTGATCCGAGCACTAAAGTGCGTGGATCCAGTTGCCACAAATCACATCGCAAGAATAGCGATAAATAACAACGGTAAGACAGTAGGGTTGAATGCAAAATAATTGAAGCAGGAAGTGCGTTAAACTAACCAGAATGAAACGAATATTAATAACCAGAGGCAAGAAACCGGGGGCAGGAACGCCACTGACTGCGTGATTGCGCCATGTCTGATACAGTCTCCAACTATTAGTGTGGACTATCCCGAGGCCCTCCATCCACAAAGACGACATGCACCAGCCGGAGCAAGTCTCTAAGTCAATTTCTCAGTGCCTATATACCAAGTCATGGGCTGGTCACCTCGCGATTTCGCCCAACTTGGTGCAGACAGGGCGTATAATGATCGCAGAGGAAGTCGATCAACGGGCATACGGAGGACATGGCCTAGCCTACGTAAGCGATTAAAATACAAGAAACACTCGAGTAAGGCACCAGAAGTTTGCATACCGAAAACCAACTTCCGGACCCCAGTAGTACTCACCCAGTGTTCCCATCAGACGTGAGCAATACCCCGCAAGCATCGGTGGTCAAACACGATAAAGAGTTTAATGTTTTCGCCGCGAATTGACATGGTCTCTGATCCATACCTTTCACTGATAGGCTGATATCCCGCCGATTCCATAAATGGTTGAACCTATCGAAAGCCACATGCGCCTTGCCGGTCCAGTCCTGTAACAGCACTTTGCACTCTTAACGTGTAAAGCACATGACGAAGCGTGCAGCGCTATGCGTGAGTACCGTTTTCTCTAAGCCGAGGCCCTTGTGGTGCCGCCATGATACCCGTCTATAAGTCAAAGATCGGATATATTGTGTGACTTTTCAGGATGTATTGGTGTACGGTTGCGAGACTTGGCCTGTCCGTACTGCTGAAATAGGCCGACTCTGTCTGTGAGCACCGTTGCTTGAGCTCCATTGCCCATGTGTGGTGGCTACACCACGTTCTGTTATTCCACATTGATTCCGATGACACAGTACCTGTACCACAGATTGTGATCATACTATTATATATATATATATATATATATATATATATATATATATATATATATGCAGTAGTGTTTGCATAGTCACTGCGTGAGACACAGGGACAACTATCATCTGCAAACTGCAAGTTTGTCAGTCTGTCACCTGAGAGAACTTGCACTCCGGTAAAGTGTGGAAGAACCAAGTTATTCATGATCATTTCGACCAGAAAGTTGAAGAGTAAAGGAGATATATGATAAGCCAGATGAACCCTACTTGTCGTGGGAAACTCAGGAGGCAGTTTCCCGTAGACCCATACACGAAATCGGAAGTCACGGTTAAGAGACTGTATAATGTAAAGGAATTTGGCCGGGACGCCCTGCATGGATAGGCAGTACCACAAGCTGGCGCGGTTAACGGAGTTGAAAGCGACTTTCAAGTCGGTCGTCCGAATGTGTCTCTGCGCTAACACTTCCCGAAGGGCAAATATGTGGTCAACGAAACCACAAGTAAGGCGGAAAGCAGCTTGGCTTCCAGTGAACCGAGGCCAACGCCTCGAAGATTTTCGCACAAAGTACACTGTCTTTTCTTGAAGATGGGCACGAAAGTCGCCAATTTGAAAGTATCTCCTCAATGTTCCAAATCGTATTAAATAGAGAAACACGGTAGTAACGTGCAAGTTACTGAATGGTGAGCGGCGCTGTATCACATCTAGTGACATGGCCACCTCAGTCGTACTGTCTTCTGTATCCCAGTGGTTTTCGCCACGGACTCGTGACAGTCGGGTTGCAGGTTCTAAGCACACATAGACCAGATGAAATGCGCACTGTTGACGGTTCCCGAGAGGATAACACAGCCGTTCAGTACTTTTCCGGGTGTGTGATGGCTGTCTGACTGAATACAGATGTGATGAACTTCTACTTATTATGGGAGCACTCGGAATTTTACCAACTTATGCATCCCGGTTAAGTTTGAGACATATCTTCAGATATTGTGCGATCGGTTTGCGCGCATAGTTCGGACCAAGTGAGCGTTTATGGGAAACTGTCGTGTTAAATAGAGTAGTGAAACCAATTAACAAAAAGTCACCACCATCATTCAGCAAGGATGGAGGAAGGTCGTTGGGTCCAGGAGCCTTGCTTCATTTAAATACGGCAAGATCATGTCCAGTCTCTTCCAAAGTGGGCGATATGACATCCACTTCCCACATCGGCTCAGGTGATTCGGCAAGCGGCAGTGCCGCAGTAGGCCTGCTGAACTGCTCTCCAAAATGCTCCGCCCAACGGGCTAGTCGACGACGCTGAGAAGGTATCAACTGTCCATCTCTCGGCTATTGTCTCGCTAACTGTTGGATTTCTCGGATCTGTTCTCAGGATTAGCTGGAAAAGCACTCGGCTGTTTCCATCAGCACTGGCTTTCTCCAGCTCACTGGCCCATGCCATCCACTAAAGTTCCCGGTCGATTCGAAGACTACTGGTCACATGTTTCAGAGTTACGGACACGCTGAAACTCAGTGCCCATCGGAACCTGTTTCCGTGCTACGACCAAACTGATCCATGCCTCAGAGATCCATTCGCGATTACGTCTCAAGTTGGATGCATAGCAGGCGTCAAAGGCATTCCAAACCGCACATTTGAGACGATTCAAGTCAGCGTTCGGTTCACCAACCTCATTCATCACTAATATTTGGTGAGCCAGTTCGCCATGATATTGCTGAACTGCAGATTGCAAGTTCAAGTTACAGTTACAGTTAAGAATGCTAGATGGGCGCTTTTTTGAAGCGGGAAGAGTGTGCGCAAGGCTTGCGCGCACTAGTGAATGGTCGGAAGCGAGGCACGTGCTCCAAATTGCCTGACAGTCCTGGACTGATGTGCGCCATCCGTACCTGATGTCATTAGGGCCAATTTGGGTCCAGGTCATGGAAGAATTAGGTGGGCACCAGTTGACGCGGTGTGAACGCTTGTAGTGGAAAGCAGTGCTGCTAACGTAAAGCTTGTGACCGATACATAGTTGCAGGAATGGACCACCAATGTCTGACAGAGGTGCATCGGCTCCGAAGCGGTCGCCCAGGTGTTGTTCTTAGTCTGAAACACGACCCCTTTGGGTATTCATGTCACCAGAAACAAGCACGATGTCAATATTCTTCGCTTTACAAAGAAGAGATGAGAGTTGCTGATAGGAATCGTCCTTGACACCCTCTGAACTGCATTCAGTAGGGGCAGTAACTGAGGTGATGAAGACACCTTGTCTTCAGACGTTGCTTATGAACTCCAACAGAGGTTCGAAGTCGAACCGTACCCATACGGCTGTTCACCGTTATCCAGTCGAGCAGAGTGGCTTCAGCATGTTCGCTGAGGGCGATACTGACTCCGTAAATACCTTAAGTCATTGACTCGGAATCGGCAGAGAAGCGAAGAGTGTAGCAATCATCGTCAGATTCAGAACCAATGAGTCGAAGATTTGTCTCGGCACTGTTATCTTGTACGCGTGTTTCGGGGACTTAGCACACATCAATACCAAGAGAGTGAAGAGTGAGTCAGTGCTGCCTTCTGGCCGATCTGACCTATAGTGTGGACGTTAAAAGAGCCAATGTAAAAGGAAACTTTAAGCTTAATGGAAGAGCTACATGAATCGATAGAAACAGGTGCGATGTCAGCGGCAGTCTCTTGATTAGTAGATGGTAAACAAGAGAGGGGGAGAAGAGAGAAAAACAAGAAGATGGGGTGTTATCGACGTGGTCGAGGGGGCAGATGATACTCTCCGGCTGCCCATTCCGAGAGAGAGTTTTGTTCGAGGTGCCCTACCTCTAGCGTTTGATTCAACAGTCTTACCCAAGAGGAGGTGGGGTACATGGAAGTTCGCTTGAGGGACTCAACCAGGAGCCTTGGGCTCAATAGCCTGATGCACAAGACAATGGGGAGTAGGTCTAGCTCTGGAGGGTGATTGCATAGGCTCATTTGGATCTGCTTGAAGCCTGTCACGCACAGTGGTATTATGTCACGTAGCTACAAACTCGGTCATCCGCAGGTGGGAGTTGGCGGGTTTGCACCATGTGACCAGGGGCTGCCTGGCTTGAGGAGGGTGGTAGCACCCGGAGTTGCCCTCCCACCGTCAAAGACAATGCATGGCGCTCGTGCTCTACGCCAATCGAGCTGTGAGTTTATAATCTGTAGACCTGTTATCTCTTATGGCTAAGTTTTAAAGGAAGAGGGCCATGGACCTCTTCCTAACCTCCCGAATAGGATTGGATTGTGAGACTGTTACTCTGGCCCATAACCATTGAACTGTTTGGTAGGAATAGCTCTGAAGGCACCTGGAAAGTGGCACCCAGCATAGCTCAATGGATCACGAGAGTACGCAAATCATCGCACAACTCTAAGGTCCAGTCCCGCTGCGATGGGTGTACGGTTGTACATGATCACATTTCGACGAATAGATAGCAGACATTTCGATGAAGCAGGGTGGGGTGTAAAAAAGTCAGGTAAGTACAAATCCATGGAATGTAGACACTCCAAGGAATTGTTTGCGTAATCATAGGAGCAAACTTAAAGAGTGGAAGAAAAGAGAGGGCCAAAGTCGTAATCATAGCAATAAAAACCAATGAATCCTCACTACCACAAAGCGCTTGCTATGAATCATACCTGGGGAGTGCTGACTAACACAGCGCCAACAAATTTGCCCTCCGAGAACTGCTTGATCTGGCTGAGAATGCTAAGATGTTCATCAGATGTTCCAGGAGGCGTGTCTATGATGAGACAATCAAGTTGCCCCCAGCAGACTGAGTTCATGAGTTCCCCAATCATTCCAGACTTCCGTGGACCTCGCCAGACAACAGCGGCATCGTGGTCCTCCAGAAGAAATCCGATTGACATGACACACAATCTTTGGGAAGAACCATCTGCGTAGACCGGCATCCAACCTTCGGGAATAGCATGTACCTGAACAGAGCAACGTAAAGAGGGCCGATGAACAAATTAAAAAGTGGTCTGGTAAGGGTGATTCATAAATGAACCCATAAAAACACACACTTAAGAGTATGTGGTTGATAAAGAGTATGATATATAGGACGGAATGACGCACCAGTATGTGTACAGTCGGGTTACAGGGCCTAACTGCAGCACGGTCAATTGGAAGTACCAATGGGAAATAACTGGATAGAATGCAACGCATCGAACTCTTCATTCCTGAAATTCGACCGGTTACCAAGGCAACAGCGGGTACAAATTATGCCACAAAAATGAGTACAGTGCATGAAGGAACTACTCAGGCGCACCAATGCTCATAGCAAGATATGTGTCCGGTCAGAGGAGAGTAAGGCCGACCGAGGTAGCGGCTCGACTGAAAACGTGACTGGGACGGAAAATAGTCGATATGCTGCTTGCGCAGGTATGAATCACGTAGATATCGTTGTGATTGGCCAAGTGTAAGCAAATTCGTAATCAGAAAGCGGACAATGAGAGAAAAATCGGTCGTAATTCATAGCTGAAGCTCTGGTTCTGGTGAAATGACAGGGCAGCAAATGAAAAAGACAAAGCTAGGGCATTCCAACAGGCAATTCGGTGGAAACATGATCGTGGTAGATCACAGCTGCCATATTAGTTGAAGGTTCAGTGGCGGAGAAGACAAGGTGCCTGTCTCGTAATTCGAAGGTCATCGGTTCCAATTTGAGTAGATTCATCATTATTACTACATTTTAGCTGCAGGTGGGAAACACGATTCCACTATTGTGGCGTAATACACAAAGTAAAAAAGCGACACTGAGGAATATAGGATCAAAAAACAAGTAACACGCCACATAGTAACATATATGCTCCGAGAGAGATTGTGATTGTAGAGGGAAAATAAGCGAAATGGGGAAGGACAAAGAAACACATAACACAAACGCCATTGAGGTAGGATCCTTGCTATGTCAAATAGTGTATCCAACCAGACGTGTTCATCGTCTTTCGGAATACAGGCCAGCAGTGAGGGCTTTCATTCATATTGACCAAGTCAACGGTTGCACTCCCATCCTCCTCTTCTACCCACATACGCGGCGCGCAAACAACGCACCACGCGGACTCAGTGTGCTAGCATGCGCAACACATGGCCCAGCCATCGGAGCCTGGTGTGTGACATAATGGTGCTGAGCAGTTCACTCGTTCTTCGTGCACCCAATACGCTATGCCGAACACGCCCATTGATACGAAGGTAGCGATGATTGAACGTAATTAGTCTTTATGTCTGTCGACTTGATGGACCAAGTTTCGCAACCGCAGTCAGTTTGAACGGATGCTGCATGGGAAACTCTACACTTCAGAGCAAGAGCACTGTCGCGCCGGCGCCATAGGTGGCGGAGATTGGAAAAAGCGCCTCAAGCTTTTGCTATACAGCTCTTAATCTCATATCGTATTCCACTGGCGTTGATATAGTTGTCAAGATATTAGAAATTATGGACGACTTTTAGCTGATCACCACTAAGGAGCAGCGCATGAGGCGGTCCCTGCCAATTTTGGAAGATTTAGCATTTCGACGATGCAAAAATGGCATCAGCAGTACGCCGGTACGCAGTACCGACACTTCGTTGCTGCGCAACCACCACCGGTCGCACGTGGGCTAGGATACTGCGATGATCGCCCTGCCCCTACACAGGCTCAAACCCGCGCCGCCAGATTACAAAACTAGCTTATTACCTTTGGGCTACGGGCCGGCGACGATGCAAAGCATAGACTGGAACGACTGACAGCCAATGCTAATTTCACCAGTGCCAATTGGCACGATGGAGAGCTGTCACAGACAAGGGCAATGTCGTCGGCGTACTCCAAGTCAAGAAGTTGGTCATCCGGGAACTCCACGGATAGCAATCTCCGTGACTTCGTCAAAGAAAGGTGAGGGCGAGCATCCGTGTCTCAAACCGCTGGATATATTGAAAGGTGGCGACAGCATGCCATAAGTCCTCACTCTGCTCGAGCTATGCGCGTACAGTTCTCTGCCAATGTTTAAGTATTTTTCGGACACGTCTATCCTGAGTAGACAGGCCTCGAAGTAGATCCGGTCCACGCGCCAGCTGTAGCAGTTACATGGCAGCGAAACGTCGAAATGGCGTGCTTGTGTACTGCTCATGCTTATTTTAACATCGCAAAGACACTGGACCTAAATGTGGTGCAACGGTTTGTGTACATTTTCAGCCCATTGGACTATACTGAGTAGTACCCCAGAATCTCTTGAGACTAGTACCATGTCGACCAGTGGTCAGAGAACAGACGAACTCAGCTTACAGGTCCTTTATGTTAAGGGTTAGAAATATAAGGGAGTCTATTGTTGTCATATCTGATCGCTAAAATCTCCCACTACCTTGAGTGCAGGTTTTGGACTACAAGCTATGGCTGAGGACATACATCGTTCTGCTGTAGAAGTGGGTGCTCTAGGCAGTATCTCAGCTCATGTGCAATCATGATTACAAGTTGACATCTGCAAGCATTACATCTCAATGGGCGTATTTCACGATAAGAGGGCGGTTGTACTGAAACCAGACAAAGGTTTAGGGGCAGTATTCGTGAACGAAAACGACTAAATTCGGAGAATGTTAGGTATCCTGAGTGATGAAGTCAGATTCCAGAGTAATTATCGGCCAGAGAGCTCGCCGGAGGTGGAAGTTCGCATAAATCGCTGTTTACAATCACCTCTTCGGCAGCACGTCATCATCCACAAAACCTACAAGATTTTGTCGAATGGATTATCAACTGCATAGGTTGCTATTCAGACTATTTGTAGCAATGGTGAATTGCTCGCAGTATAAATTAGTGCGGTAATTGGTGCAAATTTTAGTCCCATTCAGACAGTACTACAACCCGCACGGTCTTAAGGATACCTTAGGACTGACAGGGGTCCAGTCAGGTGACAAAAGCAGGTGCTCCTTGGACATCCACTATTGTCCCTTTGCTGGAAGCAGTTGACTGATTAGAGTCGAGCAGTTTCGTGTGCAAACGCCCACAGACTAAATAAGTCTCTTGTTGCACAAAGAAAACGGTACATTCTGTTGCAAACAAACCTCATACTATCAAATCCATGGTATGGCTGTGAGCAGTCCTTTTGGCCCTGTATTGGCCAGATTTTTATGACAACGAAAAATATTTAGTGCACAGATCTTCCAACTCTCAGTACAAGCGATATGTTGATGACAACGGCTAAGTAGCGTCCACATCAAATTACTGGTTACTCATGAATTCGAGTCTAATGATCGTCTTCCATACCCGGATATTCTCATCAGTCGACGGGATACCGAGCTCGTTAGGTAGTTCATACGACGGAAACAGAAATGCTCTGGTCAACATCTGTTTTTATTAGTTTCATATCGATGAATCATAAACGTGTATTGGGGGAAACTGCTCATTCGTGTCAAATGTATCCTGGAGTGGATGCCTAGTTGAACAGAGACAAATTGTCACCAGAACGCTCACGAAAAACAGCTACTCCAGACGTTCCATCGAGAAGCAGGTCAGCCTGCGGACAGAAACTGCGTCGACAGCCCCAAAGAAAAAGGTCTAAGTCGACCTTCTATCTAAGGGTAAAGCCGCCAAAATGAGAACAGCCAAGCGCTTAACTTTTGCCACTTATAAAATATGATGTGCTGCGGAGACTGTAGTAGTTAATAGAACCCGGAAGCTGTTGCTTTCAGTAAAGGAAGAGGAACCAAACGGTGCCAAATCACATTATCTTCACTAATTTGTGTGGGACTACAAGTCTGTTACGCAGGCAGTATCGACAGGGCTTTGAATTCCAGAGTGAAAGAACACCGATTTAACTGCGTTCAAAGTGAGGCTAATCAACTCCCGTTCAGTGCTCCGTGTTCAAATGAGCTGTTGTGGCCGTAGGGCCATGGTCGCCGGTCACACACAGCTAAACAAAAAAATTTTGACCACAAAATGAGTCATTTCTAGTTATTTGACTGACGCCGAAGAGAGAATATGAATGTGCACACCTACCAGTGTTCGTTTTCTTATGGTGTTATTCAAAAAACAATAGGTCTATGATTTACCTTTCCCTGACTTTCTTAGTGGGAAAAAGTATGTAGCGGACCAAAAGCTTGGCCCGGTTGATTTAGCGTCAGGAAAGCATATCTATGCCCTGGTGCTGACCCAAAAATAGGCAGTCAGTAGTCGAGATGGTATAAACATGCCAAACACCGCTTACGAGAAGATAGTGTATTATGGTTAAAAACGATGGCTTCACTGTGAACTCAACGCTTCACAATGAGAGTGATGCCGCGCCTGCGTCACAGGTAGTGAAGAGTTGTGAGAGCACCTCGAGTTATTGATATACGGTTCAAGATCTCATCTTCGTATTCACAAACGCTGATACAGCTGCCTAGATGGTTGAAATTTTGAACGACTTCTAGTAAATCCCCACCAAGGGTCAGCGCAGGGTCGGTCGCTCATTATCGTGGAGGAAAGCTCTGTATTTCGACGTTGCGAAGCGAAGCCCAAAAAAGCTAACAACCATTGTTACTCTTTCTAATGCTGAATGGCACGTTCGTGAGCTGTCACATTGGACAATATCATCGAGATACTCACATGGAAGAACCATCACATCTTCCAAGTCGTGTCCAGTAAAAGCAGTTGCCAGTACTTCGTCAATGGCTAAGTTAAAAAGGAAAGGTGGTAACGGGTATCCCTATCTCACATCGCTGGAGATATTGAAGGACAACATCAGCTTGCCGTAAGCCTTCACTCTCTAAGAGCCACGGGTGTTAATCGCGCTGATAATTTTAACGTACTTCTCGGGCACACCTTTCGTGATCAAACAGTCCCAAAGGACAAGTCAATCTATCGAATTAAGGCTTTTGATGTAGGTGGAGACGAAAACAGTTGGCCGCCAATATAAGTAGCGGTATTCTAGCTACTTATGTGAAAAGAAGAAGTGTTCAACACAGCCTTAATTTCGACGAAATGCGGCTTGT